ACAATTTAAACTTTATACCTCTCCCGCTGCGTAGCTATTTATACAGAATTAATATTGAAACTTTATTAAATGTAAAACTCTGTCTTAATGTATATAATATTTAACCATGTTTAAAATTTAAATATTCATGATATTGCTTTTTTTTTTTCCCCCAGAACAAAAATCATGTATTAAGTAACATATTTAATCTGGAGTAGAAGGTATGTAAAATAAAATGCAGTATGATAAATTAAATAACACTTTATTGTTTTATGACATCTTTAATGGGAAGAATTCGGTCAATGATTCTAACCAAACAATATTCATATGCGCTTGCGGAAAGATAGGCCTTTTAAAAACTTCCCATTAAAATAGAAGGAATTTTGTGTATATCATCACACTGTGGGAATTCGGACTTAACATTGATATTTTTATTATTCCAAGCAAAAGAAACTACAGTGACTTTGGACTTGACATGAGGTATAGCTGTTAGCAAAATCCTTGCATAGGCTTTACTTATGAAGGTCCAAATCGTTAACTTTGTGATATACGAGTTTCAGTCAAGGAAGAGTTCTACCTTTATACTGTACCCTAGCATATAAAAACATTAATCAGAAAGCTGTTTCAGAGTATGAGACAACAATATAGGCAAATGCTATTTTTTATTGCCTTTCAATCCGGAGTTCTGGGTATGGAATTTGACATTGTCATAATTTTATTTTATTTTAAAGCATATAGTGAGGCACAGTATCTTTTCCGCGTCACTTTATAAGCACCTGAAAAAATAAACACTTCACCAGTTCTTCCCCTAATTCCTCCTTTGTGCTTTTCAAGCTAAATTTGTATAGCTAAAACGGAATACTGTTTTAAAATCTGTAATTTCGGTCAGTAAACAGTAAGTGGTGTATTTAATTATGGCAAAGGCCACTAGGGCTATCTGCCTAAGGGGAGGGATGTCTTCGTGGAGGACTTTCTAAGGGAAACTGTCTCGTATACACGTTACACACGGGGAAACCCACGAAAACACCCATGCAGCCAGCCCGTTCGCGGGATTCGAACCTCGGACCGAACTACCAGTGTTCAGCGACGTTACCGCTCGGCCGTTGGTGAGCTAAGACGCTATAAAAGGAGAATTGCTTTCTCCCACCTGGAAGCAGAACTATCCTTCACGTACGTACACACATTTTTCAAACTTTTTATGTAGCTTATTTACTGTTTACCATCAACGTATTTCTTGAATTTTAAGTTGCATTTTGGCGTAAAATATAATCCTTATAATTTAAATACCATCAACAGAAAAAAACATTTTAATTCCAACCAAGTAAACAAAATGCTAAATTATGTTTAACAAGTATTTTTACTGCCTTGTGCGAAGTTAGGAAGTATTGTAATTGCGAAACATTTCGGGTATTATAATTTCAACGCAAATATCCATTTTGACAGCTATCGAATGCAATTTACCGATGTTTTTGCCTGACATATGTACGTAAGGAAAGAATAAATGACTGTTTTTCCCAAAACGGATTGTAAAATGGATTCAGAGGAAGCTTGTATGTATCTCACATAACTCAAAAACGAGAAGCCTCAGGACATTGACATACTGTATATAAGATTGCTATAACATAATACCTGTACAACTCCGTTTTTGGTTGCAATCGGCCGCATCAAAACTATGTATATATGTACCCACTCTATTACTAGGCTCAGTGAGCTCAGTTTTTTTTATTCTTATATGTTGGCAAATTGTGATTTTTTTTATGGCTTTAAAAATGATTGACTTGTGTTGTTCTTAAGTTTAGGTTAAGGTTTTTATACCTGTAGTTAATCTGCATGCAATAGTTGTAGAATTATCAACAATTTAAAAGTTATTTGCGGCTAAGCCTAACGGAGCATCCATATTTATTTACATTTGAAACTTAGCAGAATAGTGAATCAAGTCAGTGTTTGCACTGTCAGTGAACTTTCAGTTCTGTGCAACGTTTAGTTAATCTGCATGCAATAGTTGTAGAATTTTAAACAATTTAAAAGTTATTTAAGTGCGACTAAGCCTAACGGAGCACTCATATTTATTTACATTTAAAACTTAGCAGAATAGTGAATTAAGTCAGTGCTTGCACTGTCAGTGAACTTTCAGTTCTGTGCACCGAAAAATTTGCCTTCTTACCGAGGAATTAAGTTTAAATGAGATGCAGAAAAAAATGTGTATAATTTAATAGGCCGTAAAAAGAAGTCATGTGATCTCCACACCAGACTTCTTAACCCAAAGGAAGGCGATTTATTATTATTTTATTTGTGGATGATTAATGGCGTTTCATCGTCCACGAGCGTATAATTTATTTCCGTCTTTCCTTCTGAATCAATATCAGAACTTGCAATTCCTTTGGACTGTCGAAATCTGCATTTTAAATCAATATAACAGTTTACTTCAGCTCAAATTTCATTGTTCAGTTCTTAATTTCATTATCCCATTATGCCGTCTTTTGAAATACAGAGAGAATTCAGCATGCAACGTTTTAAAGTAATGATTTATTATTCTTTTCGTATTTGCTATTGGTATATATTCATTTTCTTCCGGAATATGTCATCAAAAAATTCGTAGTACAATTGTTAGGATTCCTTTCTCAAATTTTTCTTTTAAACCATTTCGTTCTTGACTGAAGGCGAGTTTATAGGTATAAAACAACAGAAACGTATATGAGAGAAATCCATGTATTTGGATAGAAAAAAATCCCTTATCGTTATTTCTGACGGCCTAGAGCTGTTTTTCTAGGTGTAGTATCCTAAACTATATAATTCTAATCATTTTGCACACTATACTACGCCGAATGGACAAAATCTTTATCCCTTTTGCAACAGTGCAAAGAAATGCCAGTATATGCAACAATGAAATGCCAGTATATGCAACAATGAAATGCCAGTAGGCTTTGGCACTAAAATATGCAGTTGACTTTTAAGCGATTTTCGACTATAGAATATTTTTAAGCGATTTTTCATGCACATATGTGTAGAATATAAAAGTGTTTCATAACCTGAAGTTTCTAGTGTGGGCGTGATTAAACTGCGACTCTGAACTGCACATAATTAACAGCCGCCGTATACCGTATGCCAAGTACCGTATACGTATGCGGTTTATTAAGTACCGTACATGTTGCTCGCAACGTAATAATCAATATTTTTTTTTAAATCAAAATCTTAGCTTGAAACAGAAATCAAGTTACGACGCACCTTTCTAACGATCAATAATTTCATACTTTTAATGATATTGTGAAGTTCCTTCTTGTCGGTTAACCAGTTATTTTATGTTTTGGATTTGTACTGTCACAACGCCCTTTCTAATTTTCCTTCCAGAATGCAAATTTATTTCGAGAATGTTTAAAGTTAGGATCATGAGAGTGTAAGACAGAACGTGTTCTACCCGCCGTGGCCACATTACTAGGTTGCTATCTTAGAAAAGAGTTCTTGTCTTCTGCCTTGCATTATAATTACCGATAACTGAATTCCCATGCCGATTAAGTTTTGAGCCAACTTTGCGTTAAATTGATTGTGTAGCCTTCGGCTACTACTTTGTTTAAATTTAAATTTTACATTTGACTTTTACTCTCGAGTTATCTCGTTACAAGTGGTTGGCTGAGTTGTAAGCACAAGTTATAGCGTCTGTTCTAATTTCGTTTTTAAAAAGGGTAACTGAAATTTGGGAAAGGTGTAAAATTCTTCCCAAATTCCAGTTGTTACTTTAGACTTGGCGATAATTCGTTTAATGTCTGCCTAGAGTTTATACACTTTGGATTATAACTAAACATTCTATAACTCTATAACAAGTATGATAATATGATAATATTAAACAATTCCATCTATGGACTATTTCAGGGAATTTTTATTGCGGCAATACTACTTTTAGAACGATAAAATTAGAGCACCAAGATAGCAGAAAATACAAATATAGCAACACGCCACGTTGATGATACATCTCAAATCTTACTGAATGGCACTACGAATATGTTGAGAAGTAACCTGCATGGCAAATAACAAAACGTATCTGTTGATTCACTTAATGAATTGATTAAATGGTTTAGGGTAAACTTTTATCTCTGTATGTTAGTTCTCACATTAGCTGCGTACAAAAATTGAACTGTTGTTCCTTTATACAAAAATCGAGCTAAGCTGACAGCTTATTTAAAAAACAATTCGTACATAAAAGGCAGTACCTCTGCAGAGTGCACTGTCTCGTATCTCTTGTTATACAGTTAAAAAGTAAAAAAAAAATGTCACTAGTTACTTACCGTTCCCCTCCCAGAAAAAAAGGGGGGAGGAAAAGAAAAAATCATTTCTCTTTCCTTCAGTAGAATGAAATGTTGTTACATTATTATGAAGTTCGCTATGTCTTCTTTATTTTTAAGTTTACTCTTATTAAAATCAGTTAAGAATTATGAGAAAACAATCTGGAAGTTCTAAGCTTTTTGTCTGAAAAAGATTGTCCAGTATAGTATAAAAATTTTTAAGTTTTGCGTTTCTTTCCTAAACGCAACTTATGACTAAAAGAATTATTTACTTACGTTTATGTTCAATAACCACATTAACTATATAAAGCGTAACATTATTGTTACTTTGAACACCGATTTCCAAAATCTATTAAAAACTGTTATACTGTTTCTAAAACGGCGCAAATATTTAGCTGCGGTTCCTGGCACATCTTCTTGCTGCTCTTCAGTTTTTCTAAATTCTAGCAAATGACGTTTTTACTGACATAAAATTTGACTATATCTACTAGAGGATATTGGGATTAATATCAACACATTGGGTTACCGCTGATTTAAAATAAATCTTTTTAAATCAATATAATAAGCGTCAAGTATCTTAGATATTATACAGATTTATGGAAATCACATTTTAGATATTTGCTGAAAAAGTTAAAAAAAAGGATAGTTTAAAATATTTACTAGATATATTTCTAATCATTATATCATAATTACTGTATTTGATTTATTCAGTATACTTAAATAAAACATACAGATGTAACTCACCTGAAGTTTGTGTGTTATCGAGGCCAACTTTCCCGTTATAGGCATAATAAGCAGCATGACAGAAATACCTGCTAAACAAGCGATGCCCAGGTATTGCCAGAGAAGAGTTATGATGAGAGCCATTCTCAAAGGACAACTCCACACTGAATTCACAGACCATACAAGCTCTACTATCCGTTGAATATCCACAGAAACCAGGTTGCAGAGTTCTCCCAAACTGTAATTCCTCCTCGAACCGTTGGTCAAGCGCAAAACCTTCGAAAATATGGAAATAAAAAAATATTGCATACTTTTATTTTCATTTTAATGCGGTTTTTAACGACATGCATCTCAAAAATATAATATTTGAATGGCAAAAATATTAGATATATTCAGCAGTAACGTGTTGATCCAATTTTAATTTTGATCACAGCTGATATATCGTTATGCTAGTACAGTGATTTAGATGTTACAGTGGGTTAGACGTTATAGTGGGCGAGTGTATGGGTTGACCGGTATAGTGGGTTAGCATTAATAGCTGCCATGTCTTTTGGGTTTGAGTTTGAATTCTGGAGAATATTTATAGTACCTTAAAATAGTGCAGGGAGCACTTTAGATGCACGGCCAGTCGAAATTCCTGTCGAGTTACTTATTGATAACGGAAAAGTGGGTTGGAGGCCCTTGGAACCGTTTTCCCCGTGGATTCTGCTTCTAAATTGGAAACAAGCTTGCCAGAGTCTTACTGTCACCTATATAGTGCCCAAGGCTCGTGCCAGCAAAAGACACAATCTTACGCTTCTCACTACTATAAAATTCGTGGACTTGTTCTGTTGTTATTGTCAGATAAGTGAAATAAGCTACAACAACAGCTGATATTCTTCTGGGCATGGCCTCAACAAACTGCTGATATCGCTTTTGAAGAATAATAAAGCATACTGGCATAATAGAAGCTTTAAGTTGACTCAGACTGGATGGCGATTCTATACGTTGAAGTGATCTTTCCATTTCGTCCTGTGAATTCTAAATAGAATTTAGGTCAGAGGATTTAGCTGGCCATGGAAACAATTAGAATTCAGTATTATGGTGTTCAAAAACATTCGAGACTTGTGCACATTATTCTGTTGAAAAGTGTCATCTACATTAGTAAACATTGCAATTATAAACAAGTATACTTTATTGCCAACATAATGAGATAAAATGAAGCATTGAAAGTTGTTTTCAGATATTTCAAAAGACCAACTGCACTCCATGAAGATATTTCTGAGACCATAATTTCAGCGCCACCAGTCTGAGGAACTGCTATTAGCATGATGCCCTGCCATCTGCATGATGGAGCAGAAATCGAGATTTATCAGTCCAAGCAGCTTTTGAGCTAAGTCGTCAAGAATCCAGGTTTAATATTCCTTGCCGCTAAACAACAACAGTTGATATCTCGTTTTTCTGTGATAGTATAGGCCTCCTTTTCCGTTTCCTGCTATTGGAACCCATCCGCCACAAAGTCTGTCGTGCTCTACGTCTTGATATGCCGTATGATATACCTGAATTGTATTGAGATGTAATCTATTGTAGCCATTCTGTTGCTGTCCATGACTCGTGCCAGTCGCATTATACTTCTTTCGTTTGCCAACATTTTCTGACTAGATTAATTCTCATTGCCTAACGCTTTTTGATAACCTACCATCCTCTAAACACCCGAGATTTGTTGAAGGAAAAAAGTTTTAAAAATGCTGGAACCATGTCTTCTTGTACCAGCGATAATGCCTCGTTCAGAGTCACTCAAATCCTTCGTCTTAAATATTTTCAAACTAACTGCAGTGCTAATTATTTCTTTTCAAACTTTATATTAACAATTCCTGACTGTCATATCGCTATATATCACTAACAAAACGGGCGTCTCTGATATTTTGGTCGCCTAGTGTATAAATAAAAGAACTTTCTTTCTTTCCTACAGCGAGGCAGCCTGGTAGCATAGTAACTACCACTGGGTAGTTAGCATATCGGCCAGATGGCACCGCTGACAGAATTAACGTTGCTTCAAAATTTCTTGGACTGTAGACTTCCCACGACTATTTTTAGCGAAGAGCAAGCAAATTATGTGTTTCAGTTCTTTTAAAAAGTCTGGGGTTATTCCGGGGAAGCTGGAAGTTACAGTTAAGGTATAGAAAAAGGGTGCAATGTGGGTGAGAAAAGCAAATCCACTTTCTACCATGTACGTAGTTGGAGATGGATAGTTACAACTTAAAATACTGTTAATGGGTTTCCACAGCATGAACGACTAATGAGTTTTGTAGATAATTACAATACAGATATAAGTTTATGATTGAATTACATGGACATGCTTGGCATAATCATATACATAATACATTAAGTCTAACATAAACATTTAACAGAGGACTAAAAGTTCAATTCTAGTTATTGAAGAAAATATTTAAACTACATTGTATTTATCAACATGAGAATCAATTAAAATAAAAAGGTGCATCGCCATACATTGTGCTGAAACTGGAAAAATTAACGTTGGAAACGTCTTTAGTGGGATCCTTCGAAAATTTTCAGCCTCCGTTAGAAACGTTACGCTACACTATTATGAATTTATCATTCACACGACTTGGCAGGTATTAACATTGCTGTTGTTGTAATGTAATATATTTAATTTAATTTTCATATTTAATCACTCTGTAATTGTTTCATAAATTAAGCGACCTTAAAAGAAAAAATGCATTTCTTATTAATTTAAATCTTTACATTTTTTCCGACTAATAACTGAGTGATTAATGCAATGTATTTCACCCAACTGTGATACTACATCTAAATGATAACTACTGAACATTTCTATCGTCATTGTTGAGTAATGTAAGATGTTTCCAAGGTATTCGTTATATACCTTGCAATAGAATCGTTTGATTTCTTTTGTAATATTAAATAAAAATTTTGTTTTCTTAATGCAATAAATTTGTGAAAAGGGAGCAAAGTGTAACTACATTGTAATAGCGAAATAAACAAAGTCTTGAACGCTTTCATATGGGAAATGTGTGATTTTCTGAAATGGCACGAACATAGTTTCGAATAAAACCTGCTGGTAACGACCCATTTTCCTCTCATTTCTTTCCGAGAAATTTTTCTATATCAGATAGATGAATATGTCATGAAAAAGCAGATTCTGAGTCTTAATCGGTTTGCGGGACTAGACTACTGTTGTTATTGTGGTTTTAACTAGTTCTCCTCATCTGAACGTAATTCTACATAAGGGGCAAGGTCTTGGCCAAAGGCATAGGCACCTTATAAGTCATAATATGAATTTGCAAGATCCGCTCCAGTTTTGATAAAGAACATCACAAGAAGACGGATCCAAAAATCTATTCTTCTTTTCTTATAATGAACCTCTCTAAAGGACTCTCGCCTCCAGAGCATTTTAAATGCCTACTATGTTGCACAGACATTACACACTGATAAACATTCATGCCTTCTCCGGAACCAGAAGCCGGGGCCAACGATATGACAACTAGCACAGAATTAGATTAATTGCTTATGGTGAAGTAGGCAATGGCTATGTATTTACGATTGGAAGAGATTCCTCCTTTTTTCGCGCAATGTGAGATGATTGACCATTTTTTCCCTGTCTGCATGCTGTTACGGCATAGCATTTAAGAATAAAGAAATGAATGTTCGTTGTTTAGCACTATTTATAAATATGTTTTAGGCATTAATATTATGCAAAGACGAGCTTTCTGTTTCGAAATTTACATTTCAGTTTAAAGTTGTTTAGTTTTATTTAAAGTTGCTGAAGTATCGTTTCTCAGAAATTTTGAAGCATAGGTAAAAGTGAAACAGGAGTTTTTTTAAAGGGCTTAATTCAACCAAAACTTCGATTTTGATCACATTCTGGGGGGCTGGGGGGGAAACCACCTCGAAAATGATACAATTTAGTGGGTACGTAATATAAAGGCAAAAATACGAGACATACTCAAACTGCATTCATTTGGTCAAAATATGTTTAAATAAATTATAAGCCAAAATAAAAATTCACGTATATCTCACTGCGAACGAAAATATTTTCCTTTCCGCTGACTATAAGTACATTTTTGCTTTCCCCTGAATGAAAATATTTATTTTTGATTTATCGTCCGCTTGGACTATATAGCGGTTAGCGAAGGCTGACTACTAGCCTGAATGTCAGGGTGAGGGTTTATGTATTCTTACCTCTTCTCACAAGCGTAGCGTATTATCAGACCACCCCTCGAGTACCCACTGTAACGTTCTCGGTGATGAGACGGTTGTAAGAGTGATCGGTTCGGAGATTCTCGACAAATGCGTGAAAAGCATGTATCCAGCCATTTGCAAAAAAAAAAAAAAAAAAAAAAAAAAAAAAGGGGGAGGGTTAGAAAGAGAAAGAAAACGAGGAAAAAAATTACTACCATAGAAAAAATTTAAAAAATTGATAAATTTAAGTAAAGATAGAAAATGTAGACCAAATTTAGCATGACTATTTCATATTGCTTGAACTGAATGATTTTATAAATTGCAGTTAAAAATGAAATGAATACCATATAAAGAAAATATTGATTTTTAGTTTATTTCAGTCAAAAAGCACAATCATAAGTTACAAAAGAAAAAAAAAATTTTTATTTGAATTATACAGAATATTTAATACAGAATACAGAATTATTTGAATTATACAGAATTATACAGAATGTATATATATATATAAAAAGGTGAAATCTGTTAGTTACCTGTAGTTTGAAACTGTAATGTGTTTAAGAAAATAAGCGGAAAGCTTGATTTTAATAATAAGGGCGAACTTTCTTGAACGTAGAGAAATGTGTTTTTTCTAATTTCAATTTATCCAAAATTTTATTAAGTATATCTAACACTAATCCTACGAATTATTTGAATTGAATGTTTTCTATATTTCTTTTGAGATTGGAAATAAATTTGCATGTAAATTTATACCATGTGTAAAGTGAATTGAGTCGCTGATTTTATCAATATCAGCATTAACTGTATCACATTTCAACTTTTATCTAGCACTAGGATGAATTAATAATTGATTAACAAGATTTATTTAATGATTTACTTGGAAATATGTTGTAGTGCGATAGTCATTAGTCAATAAAACTGAGTTATTTCTCTAGGATGTAAACTATTCTCAAAATTTATCTGGTAAAATTTCCATTTCAGTATTTCAGACCTTAAATCTGATGAATTTAAAATTTTTATTGTGTGTATTTCATTATTTTACATGCTCTGCAATATTTAACAATATATTAATACGCAAATAGCGTAGTCAGCTTTCGAATACATACAATTGTAACTTCCATTAATATATTATATATTTTTAATTTGGGGCTCAGTATGCCTTTCACGGAAACTCAAGATACGCCCCTGGTTGTGATAGTTCTGTTTAATGACTGGTTTGTAAATTTTTGCATTAAAGAAGTCAGATATTACTTAAAAAGCAAAACTTGAGCTTGAATATTCTCCTAATTCTCAATAATCCTTCAGGATACGGTGATGAAGCCCTCATAACACTGCATCTAAATGTAGAGATTTTATTTCTTCCGTGAAACACCACTTCATTTACAGAATAAAAGGATAATCATAAAAGCATTCACAACCTATTAGGTCAAATATGTTTACATCTCTGCAATTAAAGCACTAGACGAAGGGAAGCACGATACACTAATGATCCTTTCGAAGCACATGATCCTTTCGAAGCACTTCAAACACAACACGCTGTACAGAAATTATTAAACTCGCATGGGAACAAGCAAATTCATCAATAATGAATGCTTGTTGGCATCAGCCTGGACAGAAAATGTCAACTATTTTAAAAGATTTCCGTCGATTCAAAATGAAGCCAAGGAAATTGTACAAATCACAAAAGCAATAGGCGGAGAAGGATTTTCAAAAAAGAAGAATAAGAAATTAAAGAATCAGTCTAGAATGACTATCGTAAAATGACAACCGAAGAATCAGATGATCTTATAACACCAACCAACTGTGAAAGCAGCGATAGTAAAGAAGATAAAGAGCCATTAAAGAATAAAAAGTTTAGCGCATTGTTAAAAAGGCATTGGAATTGTCTATCTTTGTATTGGAGATGACCGAAATGAAAAAAAAAAAAAAAAAAAAAAAAAAAAAAAAAAAAAAACAAGAGGTCACTATAAGAGGCATTGAAAAACTTTGCACTCTTTATAGTTTAATGAGTTGTGTCAGGTATTGCCCCAAATCACCCACCAGCTATTAAAAATAATTGTATCAAATACCTACTTTTTAAACAATAATAAAAATACTTCTAACTAACATTTATTTTAATTTCCACTTTTAATTACAACACTATTTAGGTTCGTATAAATTACACATACATTATTAATCTGAAGTACACAGAACCCGTTTTTTTTTTTCATAGAATTTTAACTTAGGGGAAAGCGACTTTTTGCCATACGTGTAATGTGTTAATGACGTAACTTCCGCGTTCGGAAAGGGTTTGTTATATTTATTATGTAAAATGTTATATTATTTCAATAGCTGGGTTTCTACCCATTACATCATCCAGTATCAACTGATGCTGGTTCATATATTTTCATAAGGTTCTTTTCTAATGAGCTGTTTCGTTTCTGGACGAAACACTATTGGATTATTACCACACTTTATAGCTAGTTACGGACTGCTTTTTAAGTTTCATTTCAGTTCACCTGATTCGGTCTTTATGAGTTTCTAGACCTACTAATATTCTAGAATGTTACTAAATGAAGTCTTTATCTTTTAACCACGAGTAGCAATCAAGTGATTTCCACACTTGTACTTGCGTGATGGACAAAAGTTATTTTAAAAATCTACTGAAAATGAAAAAGTTTTATGTTTTAGTTATTACATATCCACACCGTAAAACTTTTGTTTAAGGATATATTACAGCATACGAAGGAAAAGAATGAAATTTAATTAATTTGTCGTTCCAATGGAAGTTCCTACTTTTTAGTTAATAAAACACCATATGTAATACAAAGATGCTTTCATTTTTCCTTGCGAGAAACATTGAAAGACAAGTTTAAAAAATACATAGTTTGATTTAGAGATGACATGACATTTTTTTTTTTTTTTTACTTTATGCCAACTGAAAATAGGTTTTCTTTTGTTTTTAAAAAAATGCTAAGTGAAATAAATAAATAATGAAGTGCGATGAAAAGTTTTAAGTTGTTTCCATAATTTAATAATATTCATTCAATTGAAGTTTGTATTTTCCTACTCAATGTTATTGGATCCTGCAAAGGATAATAATGCTTGCTTAACGCATTCACCTCTAACTTAGTCATAGATCCTGTGGTAAAAATACTCTCACCAGCGCTTTTGAACACTTACTTTCCGATAGATGGCAGCACCGAGCCCCGAACGAGGTATAATTGAAGCATAGATCAAAAAATTTTGATTGTGCAATATGAGCAGAGTGGAAAGGGCAGCTGTTACGAACAGAAGAATAGCATACACATATCCATGCCATGAAGGTTCATTATTATCCATGAAAGAGAGTAGCCAACTACAATGAGAAAATAAAAAAATTCCGATAAGTGCACAAATATTTTACTAAAGAAAATAAAAATTTTATGAACGTAAATATAAACACAAACGTTCGTTTATTTACTTCTTTATACGAAGTAAAGAAAGTATTGTAATCACGAAAAACTTCGGGTATCATATTTCTAGGAAAGCATCTATTTTGACCGCTCTCGAATCCATTTGAACGATGTTTTTGCGTTACATCTGTACGTACGGACAGAATAAAGGACTCTTTTTTTTCAAAACGGATTGTAACAAGGATACAGAAGAGACTTTTTCACTTTTTTTTTCGTTCTGGGGAAAAAAAAAAAAAAAAAAAGGTGGGGGAGTTAAATATTTAAATTGGTCCTAGACATGTATTTGCAATCGCGAAGTACGTAAAATTAGACAGAATATTTTATGAAAATAGTTTCGATTCTGGAGCGTGGCGGTTCTGTAAATACAAAATTAAACTTTTTATATTGCTCCTATATATAAATAGGACCAATATAAAACATATAGCAATTAGCAGAAGACCTGGACCTTGTTCAAGAAATGAGTATAATGACTGTACCCTTATGTCCTCTTGAATACGGTGACTTCTATGTATACCTTGGACTTGACGAGAAAATTGATAAGAGTCAGATGGTCACTGCCCAGATCAGAGCCATTGCTTATGAAACTATTAAGAGAATGAGATCCCGATAACCTCTGGACCCATGTTTACACCGATGTATCCATGATTGAGCGAGGTACTGGAGCTAGTACAGAAATTTATTGCAACCATTTTGCATTCTATAAGGCAATGGAAAGAGATACTACCAGTTTTGATGGTGAAGTTGAGGCTATATTTATTGCTTTGAATCAATTAAGCGCTCGGAAGTGCAATTTCCCCCGGGCTATTTTATCCGATAGCAAAGTTGCTTTTCAAGCTGACTCAGTTGTCTTGCAGTGGATTCCTGCTCATTGTCACATTTAGGGAAATGAAAGCCGATATCCTAGCAAAGAAAGCAACGACTATTCTGAAAAACCACTGATAACCACATGACTTTTAATTCTGTAAAACTCCTAATTAAATTAGAATTTTGCCTCCTACTTATCAAATGAAGCTATAGGAAAGGCTGGCAGTATCCCACTAGTTCAAAGCCAGTTATTCCAGACTTTCCTCTTCTTGTAGCCGTGGCGTTATTCCTTCTTTTGACTAGGCACGATTGTTTGAATGCTCATCTTTTTAAAATTCGACTTAAAGACCCTTCAGTCTGTAGTTTTTATAGCTTTGGACCATGGATAAGGAGCATATTGACGAATGCACTGCACTAGTATATCTTTTAATTCTATTGTTCTTAAATATTGGGAAGCAAGATCAAGACTAATGGCTTAGTGACCAAATGCCTGGATGAATAAATATTGCTCCTACAGTTAGAACAAAATATCAAATTATTGAAGTGCTCATTATGCTTCAATAAATGAAGTAAAAATATTCTATTTATTTGTATGAGAAATTCCACATATTTTCTTGGAGCCATATTTACTGTTATAATAAGAGCTATTTTCCTCATTACCGAGCTTTAAATCCTCAAAAGTAGCAACTATAATTCTGCTCTAAATATGATCAAAGCTTTATTGTAATTGTTTAATTATAGCCATTGAAAATGATCCAAGTCGCTCGGAATTCGGTCTCAAGTTTTACGCGAATTTTTCACATAAATGTAGAGCATTTTTACAATTAACCAACTAATCCCTTAACTATATAACTCTGCTCAAAATCTATTCTTATAAATGTGCCCACCTTCTCGCAGAATTATTCCTTTGATATCAGGGAATTACCGTCCTGACTATTAATAAACTTTCACATGTTGTAGACAGATTTAAATTAAATTATTCTTTGAAGCTAAAATAATAACACAATTAATTAAGTTATCGACTCAACACAATTAATTAAGTTATCAACGTTATATAAATAAAATTTAAGCAACCTGCCATTTCATATTATAAATTTAGCAAGAATAAATTTCATTAAAATACCGCCCACTAATTGAGCACTGAAATTTTTTTATTAACTCTCAATAGTAAACGAAAATACTGCAGCTACCGACCAATGCAAACGGACTCATTTTCCTCCGAGGTAGCAAGCGCCAGGTTAACCATGGGTTGCAGTTAACCTGTCTAATTTTTAAACTTTCTTTCGAGTGCTATCAAAGAATTTGTTTAACCTTCTGGTCTGAGCGAATAACATTTGACATGTATTAAAAGAGCAGACAGAACAATGTTTAGTTGAAGCTTAACTGTAAGATAAACTTATAATTATCACAATATTTCTACCTGGACTTCTTCGACCAAGTAAAATGTTAAATTTCATATTTACAGAAGCCTTCGGTTTCCAGTAATGAAAGTGTTTTCGAATTCTCTTTTTATCTATTTTGAAAAACTTCGTAATTAATGATACATTTCTGGGTTCTACAGACGCTTACTACTGCATTAGGAGCGCTAAGTATTGCATTTAAGGATATAAAGTGTGCAGACACCTTTTCCTTAATTTTTATACAAATACGCTATGAGCATATTTTCTCGACTCATGAAATCATCATTTTGGTTGCTTGATGAAATATTACGATTATATTAGGTCATTCGGAAAATTCTGCGGATTTTTTCGTGATGAATACAAATGAAGCGTATAATGAAGTACAAAAATGTAAGAAAATTTCCTTGAATCACATAAGCACCAATTTGATCTATGACATTTTACCATCTATCCAGCAGCTGAAACATTCCGTTTTAAAAAGTCATTCAGTTTATTCATACAAAAGTTATCGAAATGCTGTTTAAAAGTCTCCAAAGAAGTGAACGCTAGGCTGTTCAGAGAATTTTGAAATGACACGAAGAGATGAAAATCCGAGGGAGTGTCTGGTGAATATGGTCTTACCATAGGCAAATCATTACTTTTTCGAATGTTAAATATTGTACCTAAAACTAATAATTAGCTTCTTTTTTTAAGTCAGATTACGTGTCGAAATTCGCTCAAGGATATTCTGCTTTGTGGAAGTTTAGGGTACCCATTCACTTTAGCGGCTGACATACCCAACCTTCTTCAGACGATCACGTATTGTATTTTTGGAATATTTAGTCCCTCTGATAGCTTCTGAACCGTATACTAATGTGGATTTTCACCGCCAGCTTCTTCTAATAAGTCCTTGTTTACAAATAGTGGTCATCCAGATTGGCTGAAGTGGACATCCACAGTGGGTCGCCTACAACGGTCTTTGAGACTAAAGTCCATAAGCTTCTCAAACCACCTTTATGCAGTGGGCCATCAGGAATAGTACTTTCTTCATATATAACACAGATTTTACGAGTAGTTGTCTGACCCAGCATTTTTTAAAAAATAAAAGAGCATAATATGACGAAAATGAATTTTTAGGTTCTCTATTATTACTGCGGTAAAAAAAAAAAAAAAAAAAAAAAAAAAAAAAAATGCCGTATTTAATATCTGTCTAATCCGTCACTCCTATTTCATATAAAGTGCAGTAAATTACTGAAGCAATTAAACCAACCATTGAAATTACCCCCCCCCCCCCCACCCCCCACCCCCCCCCCCCCCCTTACCCACCCCCACCACCTTCCCCCCCCCCCCCCACCCCCCCCCCCCCCCCCCCCCCCACCAATACAAAAAAAATCCGACATGGCTGAAGTTACTCCAGACCCCAAATCGGGTGACAGGTCGACCTGGTTCTTTTATTCTTAACTTTTCAACACAAGCATCCATAATGTCTGCTATTCACAATTTTCAGTAGTAGTTTCTTTGTTTTAATAATAATTTTTTCTTTTTACTTTTATTTTTCCGGTAGTTTATCAAAAATGGTTCTTTTAGAAGCGATTTGGGAAAACGGCAGAAATTTTCGGATGACCCAATACGTGCATATAATATAAGCCTAAACAAATTAACATAGACTATAGATCCTTCAGGGGGAAAAATGCAATTAGTGGAAATAATTTTTTTGATAAGCGTAATAATAACTTCTAACAAACTGGACACTAAAGTAAGTAAATAATGATAGCAAGTAAACAATGACAGTTCTTGAAATTAATTTCTTTGGAACGTCAAGCGTTTTTACCTGACACCATTGAAATATATTTAAAGCTTACACATTACAAAATTCTACCAAATGATTCTGCAACATAATGGCTACAATAAAAATAAATGATATAAAATGGCGACAACCTACTCTAGTATGATAGGAGGCATCAGAGATACAAAATCGAATGCCAGTTCCAGAATTCCAGCTGCCAGCAACCATGGCCAAAGAGCTTTTGTGATAGCTTTGAGAAGAGACGGACCTCTTCGGCAAGCAGTAAGAACTTTCGATGGTTGTGAACTATTTAGACTGGAAAGAAAAAAATCTGAAATATTTCGTCGCAAAAATATATGGTCACACTACAGTTACATATAAACATATGGTATACACAGCATCTCAGTACTAGGGTTATAAACTTGTAGGAGAGGTAAGGTGCACCTAGACAACCCAGAATCGCATAAAAATATGGGCTCGGAAATGACATCTGCATGCGGTAGTGTACATAGAAAAAGCCAGAAGTAAAAGGGCACCATGTATGTGAGTATGCGTTTTAATAATAAATGCACATTCACCAAAAGTAACAGAGGTTAAAGAAAGTGGTTGAAAATGTCCTTCCCGAGCTCGAGCCTTACATCTTCGGGCCATGGAATTCTGAATACTCTAGAAGACATGGGCGTGTCCCGGACTACAGCAGCTACTTCAGAGTGTGTAACCAGTTGGACTACCACGCCCGATCTACTGTTGGCCACATGTGACGTCTAAGTGGTTACGAATGTTATGGCTAAAATGAGCGGAGGTTCCATCTTGCTGAAATCAAAATAAAGATCGCATCGATGAAGAAAACTGTTCGTCATCCAAAAGTTGTAGCAATACATGCTCAAGAAATACAAAGTAGCTGCCTCAGATCAGGCGAAAAGGTAAGATCCGACGAGGTGATCTCCCAGAACACTAAACGCATACATTTAGCGCGTAACGACTCTGTTCTGTACAATTTCGTGTCCATCACCCGCACATGGGCGTTACCTGAATTGAAGATTCCTTCTCTTGTGAAGCATGACTTATCTGTGAACAACACAGAAGAAAAAAAATTCTTCAGACACTGCAACGAGAAATACCGACTTCCTGGTTTATGTCTTGCTGAATCCAATTTGGAATGTCCTGTACATGACATAGCACAGTCTTCTCGATGTTCGGAGTCTGTCCCAATCATTCTCGATCCATATCTGTTCTCTGGAAAGAACCTGTTTCAGCAGAACTCTGGTGTACGCATGCAAAACGTTTATGAAACACCTCATCGGACAACGCTCCTTTTGAAATTGCTGCTCCTCCATTATTCTTTATTAGCCCCATATACCAGATTTATATCATCTAACTCCGCGCTCATAAAATCACACATCTTTCTTCCTATTGCATATATGTGCGACATTAAAGTCTCCCTGCTAGGACGCTCGGAACAATTACTGCATCAGGAAAATATTTCCGACCCTGTATTACTATGCGATTCCTAGTTGTATGGGTGAACCCAACTCCTGCAAGTTTGTAACTTTGGTACTGAAGTTTGTAGCTTTGGTACTATATACAATGCGAAATATTTGCATTTTTTTATATAGAGTTAAAAAAGTATTACATGATTTTAATAAATAAAATCTGATGATTTTAATGTGATTTTAATTTTTAATATCCAAACTTTCAAAACTAGAGACAACTTTTATTACCAATTTTCCAAGAAAGACAGCGCTGGCTCTATTTAGACATCTGACCCTTGACGTAACTGTTTGCGAGACCACTTCTACAGAATTGGAGTGGTGGATTTCCCAAATTGTATTTTGTGTGACTCCACTCAGCCTATGATTTTTGAACCTTTAAATAATTGTATTCCCCTTTCTCGGTATGAGCACATTGTTAAAAAAGTACTGGAGAGCCCGTGAACTTATGGCTTAAGCGCTAATGTGCATTTGCAAAATAAATACATCTATAATATCTTTTTTAATGCATAAAATAATTGATTATTGGATAATATATTGTGAAATATTTGCGATACTTAAAATAGTATGGCTTCTTATAATGATATTTAAAACAATTAAATAGCTTCACTAAATTTAATATATATTAAGTCTGAATAAGTTAAGTTAATGACTTAGTTGGGTAATCATTAAATTAATGACTAAGTTTACGGATTAAGTTTTATAAAGTTAATACTAAGTTAAATGCACACTGAAAACATTAAGTCTACATTAAAACTTCATTAGCTATTATTTTTTATGAAAAGAAATATGATGTGTTGTTTCAAAACAAAAAGTGTTGCGGATTATGGAGGAGAGGGGAATATTATCCGAAATTGCTGCCAGTTAGTTTCGAATAAATGGGATTTTGCTATAAATTAAATGAAGTATCATGTTTTATAACTAGTTGCAAATGGGCGTCATGTAAGGGTAATGTGTATTACAGTCAAATACTAATGATAAGTATTAGACGTGAAAAAGTACACTCACCTAGTTTTAGCTTTAGCGTCTTCTGTTATCCAAGACGCATGGAAACGTTTGTGCATGTTTGCAGTTCTCATTTTTGGATCCAGGAGGTCTAGGTCCTTAACGTCAAGAGTGTTTCGATATCCATAACAAACAGTCCTTGAATAGAGATCCACATTATGGTCATGAATAACAACAATATTCACATTGTTAAAATGTAATGGTTGCATCTTCTATGAAATACACCCCGTACTGATACTAGTATTTGTAATTAAAAACATAAAAAAGTGAAATTCAAACTGAGATACAGGAAGTATTTTTAATAGTTTTAGGCTATTAATATGAAAATTTTAATTTTGCTTTTTTCTTCTTTTTGTTATACTTCTTTACAGCAGTTTTATTAATCTATCTGCAGTTAAAAACTTCCCAGAATCGTATTCTACATTAATAAAAAAAATCTTAAGATGACGGAAACTTTGTGAAATATTCATACAGCAGAGATGAAAAGTCATTACCTATCACTTCGAAAGAAAGCTGGTGAACCGTCGTGAGAGATCGTCAGAAAAAAATTTGTTCTGAATTTATTCTTCACACATTGATTGCAGAAAAGAAAGGAAACACAATTTTTACATGTCATGGCTTGATCCATGTGGCAGAAATTAATCCTAATTTTTTAAATAAATTTTGGCTGTAGATGTAATTTGGTGTTCTGCTTATAATTCTCAGAAATTGGATTCTCAGCTTTTGGATTGGAAAAGGTTCACCGCTGGCAGAACTTCCATTTCATAAATCTGGAACAAAGATTGTGGTGAACTTCTTCCAATTCAAGAAGAAATGATAATTCAAATGGAATATTTTTCTTGAGAGACAGATGATGAATTCCATAATTTACAAAGGCTTACTGGACAGATTTTTGAAGAGAAATCAACGCGTTAGATCTCAAAGACATCGACTGATCAATAAATGTTTGCTGTATGATGATGCGCAGTCACACAATTCCGTTTCTAGCGTAAAGAAATCTCACCACTACCCCTTATCCTTATCTACAGACCGTTTTTTCTTTCTTTCTCACCTCAAAGTGATAAAGTGAATACCCACATTACTTAAATATCACTAAATAAATTCAGAAAAGTCTTAAATAGCTTCCTGAAAAATACGTTCCACGGGGGAATCAAGCAGTTGATGAATGCGCCAAGTATATATCAACAGCATATTGAAAGCTATGTTCTACTCTTCAGTTTACAATTTTGAGTTTGCCAAACGTTATATAGACGTGCAAGGACAGTATATAAAATGTTATGAAGCAAGAATGACTTAAACTTTATAGACCCATAGTGTATTTCTAAGGTTCTTTCATGAGAAAACGCTTGAGAAGGTTTCAGCTCTCGTAATAACTAGTTAACATACCTTAACTTAGATACTGATTTTTAATAATGATTAATAAAAAAATAATTTGGTTTTCACATGGGCACTTTTTACATGAGTTTAAGCCTTTTTCACACGGTTTTAGCTTGGTTGTTTTATTGATTAATTTAGTGAAATCTTGGAATTAATTTTTGACCTCCTTCTACCGAATCAATTTTTTGCAAATTATGAACCATATGAACCATATACGTTATAATATCCTACCTAAATTAGATTTCCTTGAAGGCTAGAATATTGAAGAACTGTGTAGTGACTATTCACTGAGTTCTTGTAAGTAAGAAGTCCAAAGAAGGGTTAAATTACCTTTTATTCCAACTTAAAATACGTGAACGGATGGCCCGTTTCTCGGGCTTACAATAAGCCTGTACTTGGGCTTTAACTCAAGATAGAAAATTAAAACTAATCTAACCTAACTAAATTAAACAATCCGAAGCACAGAATTAACTAACAGACTTGGTCCTTATTTAAGATCATCGGCGTACATTAGCAGTCACGTAACAAAAACGCTCTTCTACTGAAGTGACCCAGAATTAAACTTAAATACTCGTTTCTACATTATTTACACAAATCGAAATCCTGAAAACTCCTTCTGGCAGGGAAACGTAGGTGGGAAACAAGAAGGTAAAGCGGAAGGCTTGCTCCAAAATAGAAATAACTATTAGAAAAATAAAGTAAATCCTTCAACTTATTGCTATGAACATATAATATGAGAGATATTTTTTTTTTCAAAACTCAGCATATATTTAGATTAATGTTCAATTTTTTTTGCTTAGCTATTGAATTAACGATCACAGAATTTCGAACTTTTCAACCATCGGGTAGATCGAAAAATGAGCTTCTAAACAGTTTTTCCGAAATCTTCAACATGCTTTAACGAATTTTGGCAGTTTTTTAAAATCGAATCCTTTTAACTTTCCCAACTGCTGCTATCAAAGATGGATTTTTAAATAAAAGCTTCAATCCTTCGTTGTTAGCAGCTCCATGAAGATGATGGAATCAGATTTTTAAATCAACCAGGAATTCAAATGTTATCTAACAACAATGGATAGATCAAAAGTCCTTGAAAGAAAGATAACGTCGCATACTTTTTTATTACGCTGATCAGAAAGAATAACCTTTCTGCATTCAGAAGCAGCTATTTTTTGCCCAAAGGGACGTTAACCCAGAAGGGCTATTAGTCTGCAAACGGCATTTTGCGTCGAGTCGCGAAAAGCGTTGAATGACTTTGCAAATTATTGCCACCAAATATTATCACCCTGTATTATATTTAAAGAAATTAAATAATGAAGAATCTGCTTAAATATATGTATATGTCTCGTACTGTGAAAAAACAACGGTAATACCTAGACTCAATTTTGAATAACGTAGACCACCATCCGAATATGGGCAACTATATTTCATATTTTGTAAAACTTTAATGAATCTTTGATTAAAAAACTCAACGATTTCAAAGCGAGCAGTGGCAACACTGTACGGAATAAAACATTTTTATCTACAGCGCGCGAGACTGCCTATCGGAAATTCTAAAAGTGTGTTGTTTTAGATGTTTTTAGCCCAAAGGGACGTTAGCCCAAATGATCTCGAAACATGTATATGTGTGTAAGTGAAAAGAACTCCTCTTTGGGGGTAATATAAAATCTGAAAGCTTTCAGATTTTTTTTTTAGTCTTTATTCCTATTTCTTTTAATGACTAACATAGAATGATTTTTTTTAAAGTATCTCATTCCATTTTCTTCCTTATTTTAATTGGTCCTATACTTAAAAAAAATATATATATATATTTCTTATTATTACTAGAAAAAGCAAATGTTGGATTCGGATTCAATAGGTGCAGTATTGAAGTTAAAGAGTGTTTGTTATTCAGCTTACTTTAAATAAAACTTCGTGGGTTTATTGAAAGTTAATATCCCGGATTTTAACCTTAACAATTGAAATGGGCTTAAAAATAGACATATTTCCAAAAGGCAAATATAACCTCCAAACTATAACGGAAAAGGAATTGTAAATCATTATACTTCTTGAGTCTGTTTTAAGAGGTACATTTGCTCTTAAAATCCTTACCTGTTTATCCACCAAAATAGTAGTCGAGAAAATATAGGCTGATGTTCTATAACATAGTCATCCTGAAAGGGATAAAATGAATTAAATAAAAAGGTAAAATTGTGTTCGTTAAATATATATGTAATGATAAAATTCCATAGTCAAGGAACACTTAAAATTCTAATTGTATGTTCTTTTCATTTTTTAGTGGCGACGTTCTCTTATTTGAACGTACGTGGAATTAAATCCACAGCCCCGTAGTCAAGTTGTTTTTCCCGCCTTTTCTACACGTACAGTTATAGAATGTTCTGGAAATATTTAAAGCGAACTGGATTGGCTGACGTCATTTCTTGGAAGCTCCGCCTTTCCAGAAGCTATAAAAGGTCTCGCAAAAGGAATATCGGAGCTTTTTCTTAAATGTCACGATGCAGTAAACTTCATACAAAAAGTTATTAGTAATTCTTTTTATTTACTCCGGATATTTGATTTTGTAACTGCTATGTCTACTGAATAATAATAAATGGATTCTGTTTTTTTAAAACTTATCGTGTGATAATTTAAGCTACGACTAAAGCGGTACATCACATATATATATATTGATATCTTTATAATCGCTCTGTAAGCGAATGAAGTTTTGCTAGAAATAAGAAGTTGTGAGAGAAGAAAAAGGGGTAAAGCATTTCTTGCTTTTTGATTGTCTATTTTCAACAATCTCCTTTTTAAAATCTTTTCATTTGAAGTTATGATTCAAATGAAAGCGTTCAACGTAATAAGTAACAAGCTTAAATACGCAAAGAAATTATTACTGAGTGAAGTTTCTTCAGAGTTCAGTTCAACTTTGTCAAAGTGGTTTTATGGTGCTGAACACAACCGAAAGTGCAGTGCTTGACATTGAATATGGAGTGCCTGGTCAAAAGATGAAAGATCTCTTCCACGTCCAAACACTCTAATCGTAGTCAAGCACTTCAATTGTAACAGCAGTGCTTTGATAAAGATGGACTGAACTCTAATGAACTGAAGTTAGTAATAATTTTTTGCTGATTTAGAGTTAATTATTACGTTGGATTCTTCATTTGTTTACTGTTAAACTTCACAAAGCTAATTTTCTGAAGTATAATTCATGTACTTGGCGCATTATTTTGTCTTTTAACATATATCATTGCGTTTTATAAGCTTTATTCTTTTTTACAGTATTTCTGCGTTGCGAAATATAACAGGTTCAATATAAGGTAATAATAACAGATTTTCAGGTAGTAATATAACAGCTTTTTCAGACTAATGAAGGCTGTGAGGGTGATCATACATTATTTATTAGAAAGTTCAGAATTGTACAGAGTTTAGAATTGTACGTTATATTAATGTCCATGGAAAGTGTTCTTGTGATATATGAAAATATTCCAAGTAAAATATATTGGTACTGTAACCTCGAGTTTAAATTGTGAAAGGAACTATTTACAACAAACGATTCCTCACAGGAGATCATTACAAAACATGTACAAGTAATGTAGGAAGTCGTTTTAGGCCAATTGCAGATAAAAGTATCACAATGATGTGATCTTAATTTTCTGTCTACCACAACCTTCAAGACAATATTTTTTCAAAAGTAAAACATATAAAAAGTCCAGTTGTACAAAAATGAAATATTACACTTTTCGTACCGAAAAATGTAGGGTTTCAAAATGATTAACGGCGCAAATTCTGTGATGTCCCTTTCCCTTCTGATTTCAGAGTTTTACCAGGGAATACTATACATACGTATTTACTTGTGAGTTTTCGAATTCAAAACTTACTTTTCCTTCATACTTAGTTTTCTTTGGTGCAAATCACAGCACATAACCGGATGCTACAGTATTACCTACAGATGTTTGTAGGCGAGTTCGAATTGATATTCTGTTTTAAAATCAGCATACATTTCGTTCTTTCTCCAAGAACACCAAATGCAGAATTCGCTTGACGGTATCATCACGATAAGAAATTCCTGCTTACAAAGTATTTTCACTATTAAGAAATTTAAAAAAGTCTCACATTTAGTTATTACATTATGCGATATGCTTCAAGTAAGTCGATTAGCATTCCATGCAGTGATATCGCACTTTTTTTTATAAATAATTTATTCAGGTCTTTCTTATAAAACGTCCTTTTTTTTAAAAAAAAAAAATTTATGTGGAAGGGTATTATTTAAACTAACCAATTATTTATAATTTCAGCCTTTACTGTAACTTCTCCTTTCCGTTTCCTCACCAGAATGTAAATGAGTTAGATAATATTTAAGCTTAGGTTTTTGGATTTCAAGAGCAGAGCGTGTTTCTAGCCCGAACATGCACGCTACCTTTAGTTCCTGCCAGTTCTGATAAGTTGTAATTATTCGGCTTTACGTTATTCCACTGCTGACAATTTGATTTTGACGCTGCGGTTAGAGTGACTCAACTTTGAGTATATTTGAACTGTATAGGCTTTGATTACTAATCCACGTTTCAAACTGAACTTGACTATGCCTTTAGTTGCATCACTATGAGCTGTGGTTGATTTTATTAGCACAAGAAAGGGCATTTTCATTCTAGATTCTGTTTGAATAAAGAAGTGTTCCCTGATTTGCAGATACTTTCAGATATAGCGATAATTCGTTTCGCGTAGGGGTTTCGGACAAATTAGTTTTTGCTAAATCAAGTAAAACCCCATATATACATAAATCATGTAATAATGATATTCGCTATTTTAATGCTAATGTCTGATTGTGTAAATTCATGAAACCTAGACATGTTTTTAATAGGATGTATGTTTGAAGGGATATTCTGTGTGTTATGTGACTTATTTCACTTGTCTGATGGTAACATCAGAACAAGTCCATGAAATTCATCGTGGCAAGGCCCCTGTCAATGGCAAGAGTTCATCGTCTGTACTGTCATCTGTACAGACGATGAACTGTACAGTGCTCAAGAGCCTGGAGCACTATACAGATGACAGTACGACTTCTCTCAGTTTCGCATCCAATCTTGATGGAGAGCAGCCCGGGGGAGGAATCCGAGGGTCCCCCACCCCTCTTCTCTAACCACCAACCTCTCGAGAGAACTTTCGGTTCGACACATATTTAAAGTGCGCCCATTCTGCAGAGACACAAACTTTGATGCCGCCTCCATGATTCGAACACGGGCCTTTTGGAACCGCAGTAGGCTCCCCTAACCTCTCTGCCGATTCTTTTGTTTTTACACAATTAAAAGCGGTAAGAATCCCTTTATTTTTTCAATGGATTATCGAGAAATTTCTGATTATTTCTTAACCGATGTAAACCAATGTGTTGAAATCATTAGTAATACATAATTTGAGAATAAGTCATTCATTCTGAAAGGCAATTATGAATAAAATATATAAACTTTTAATTTATACGAGAATAAAAATCAAGTCATTTTCTCTTAAGGAAATGTGTATTTCTGAAGAACTTTTTAAACATAAATTTTATAATTCAAAGCAAATGCTATGTCCCTGAGAGCTAATTACATTTATATAACCACTTTGATATAAAAATTTATGAAAATATTACAAAAAGTGTTGTTTTGTAAAAAGCTTTCATCTCTTAATGCAGATAAATCTTTGGTATTGTAAGATAGATTTTCAGAAACTACGCAGTTACCAGAAAACAGCGATCACGTTACGCATTCATGGTATGTTATGAAGCCAAATACATCTAACATATTATTACAAAGTAGTATTATACATTATCTATCATTAGAAAATAGTTTTACTCACTATCTTTGGATCCCAGAAATAACTGTAGTGGGGATCGGTGAAGAATGACAGTACAGCTTCTGCCAGAATCATACTATACGAAATGGTTTCTAAAATGAATAGGTTTGGATCCACCCATTCACCCAGATCCATCTGCTAATATAAGAGAAATCATCTTATTAGGCTTAATTAATTCAGTTTTATCAAATTCCTGTGAAAGGAAAATAAAGCTTATCGAAAGATAAGATTTCTTCTTGCATAATTTAATATAACTCTGTGCTATAAACCGATACATACAAATATAAATGAAATGCGAAATTCCTCAGTATCAATTTTGTTAGCTCAATTATTGTTTAGCATTTCATCACGTATAGATTTTTGATATCGTTGTTACCACACGCATAAGAATTTTAGGTGTGTCATTCTGCTTTTAAATCTGTCCTAAATGTATATGAATAGATTCGAATGGTCTAAAATAAGGATCGACAGCCTCTTTTACTAGGAGGCAATATTTCAGAAATGCGGGAGTTCGGCCGGCCCAGCGGGCGCAGTTTCGTGGCTACAATAATAAAAAAAAAAAAAATCTGATGTGTGCACCACATGACTTCCTTGCACCGAATATTAAATTATACTCATTTTTTCTTGCATTTCATTTAAACTTATTGGATTGAATTAAATCTACTTCGTGGATAGTGCATAAACCCGCTAGGTTCACTTGACCGCGTTACATTTCGTCCATATTATAACTCAGAATGCATATAAATTTATATCATTTGAAGAATTATAGAATCGTTGCCACATGTTCTATTCAAATACTATAATAAATCTGATAAAACAATGTAAAAGAAATTAATCAAACAACACACACACACACACAAAAAAAAAAAAAAAAAAAAAAAGTATTTCACAGACGATTCAGTATTTCTCATTCTATTAATTCAGTTCTCACTTCGCGACAAGGCAAAAATACATAAAAACTCAAAATATCTGTATTAAAAATTCCGAGTAATCTAAAAATAAACACTTATTTCCTCGAATAAATTCCAGAATGGATTCAGCATGATTTAATTCGGCAATAATAAAAGAAGGCGTTATCTTTGTTGTTGCGAAGCTTAGTTTCTCTAGATTGGCAACAAATCCGCTATTTTGCCAAGTTTAAAATGTAAACAAAGTCCGCCATCACAAAATTCATTAGGCTTAGTGGCACTTAAACAACTTTTAAATTGTTGATAACTCCACAAATATTGCATGCAAATTTACTAAAGGCATAAAACCCTTAACCGGAACATAAGAACAATATACACTCATGTCCATAAATTAAGGATAATTCGGAGTCACGCGGAAATCGAACTCTAAAATAAATATATCACCTGTAAAATCACTACACACATCTTCAAGAATTATATGCAAATTTCAGGAAGTAACCAGATGACACCGATGTTACGTCACAATGACGAGAGTGTAAGAGAGTGATATATAAGGAACACACGCAAAGAAGTAAAATTGTTCGCAGGCGTTTTATAAGCATTTTAGTGCAATAACCGAATAGTTATGACACAAAGGACGCATTTGGATGATTTTTTACGTGGTAGAATTATCGGCCGTCTGGAATGTGGGCGTACCCAACAGAAGTATCAGACCAACTTGGAATTGCCCAGAGTGTCATCTCCAGGCTTTGACAACAATTCCAAGATGATGGTAATGTGAGTAGACGTTATAGCACAAGTCGCCTCAGAGTTACAACGCCGAATGAGGGCCGGTATTTGGCAGTTACTGCCAAAAGAAACAGGCGGAGCACAGCCTCAGACCTGTCTCGTCAGCTCTCTTCAGCCAATGGTACGACAATTTCAAGCATGCATTGTGGACACCGCTACAGTGGGCTTGTGTGATGTTTTCCGACGAGTCCAGGTTTAGCTTGCAGTCTGATTCTCGCCCGACTTTCATATGGAGAACTCCAGATACCCGTTACCACCAAGAAAACATCATTGAACGACACCGTTACGGTGGTGCAGGAGTGCTCGTTTGGGGTGGAATTATTCTGGGTTCCAGAACAGACCTGCATGTTCAAATTGGAACCATGACAAGCCAAATCTATCGGAACGTCATTCTGGAAGAACATGTAAGTTTGTTTCGGGGCGACATGGGCGCACAATTTGTGTTTATGGATGACAACGCCCGTCCTCACCGTGCAAACATCGTAAGCGAATGCCTTCAATCGGAGGATATCACCCGTATGGACTAGCCAGCATTCTCACCGGACTTGAATCCAGTAGAGGACGTGTGGAACATGTTTGGCCGACGAGTTGCAGGCCGTCAACCTCCTCCTACATGTCTACCGGAACTTCGGAGAGCACTGCTTTTTGAGTGGTGTAATATCCCCCAAGATCAGATCGATAATTTGATACTCAGCATGCCTAGGCGTTGTACGGACTGTATTGCATCGTCTGGGAGAAATACAATGTATTAACAATCATACCAACCATGTAATATTAATTTTTTGTAAATAGGTTTTTTTTGTAATTTGCTCCAGGGAGAAAAAATCGCTAATTTTTTTAATAATATCAAACATATAGCATATTTTTTTGGTCTTTAACTTTTGTTTAATAAATAAGCTTTACAAATAAGTCGAATTTGTTTTGCTTCTAACTCTTCCTTTGCCTGATTTTGCATTATCCTTAATTTATGGACATGAGTGTAATTCAATCATTTTTAAAGCAAAAAATTCACAACTTACAAACATATAAGAATAAAGAAACTGAGCTCACTGAGCTGAGTAACAGAGTGGATATATATATAGGTATATGTATATGCTTTTGGTGCGGCCGATTGCAGCCAAAATACGAGTTGCACATCTACATGTTATAGCAATCCTATGTACAAAATGTCAACGTTCTGAGGCTACTCGTTTTTGAGTTATACAAGATACGTATGTACGTGCATACCTACGCACAGACGCCACGAAAAATGCACTTCAGAATTCATTTTAAATCAGTTTTATAATTTTTTTTGGGGAAAAGAGTCCTTTATTCTGTCCTTACTAGCAGATGTTACGCAAAAACATCATTAAATTGCATTGGATAGCAGTCAAAATCGGTATTTTCTTTGAAATATGATACCCGAAATTTTTAGCGATTACAATATTTCCTTTTTATTTCGCACGAAGAAATAAAAAATATAGAAACAAAAATCTGAAAGGTTTCAGGTTTTAAATTATGTTCAAAGGAGCGTTTTTAACATATTTTGTGTTATTTTTATTTATTAAATATCATGTTCCATAAACCATAAAACTTAACTTCACTTATACCACAAAATTCAGTTCAAAAGCAATATCACAAAATAAAAATGAGCTTATCTTTAGAATTTCTGATACATAATCTACCGCGCTGCAGATAATTTATCTATTTTTTTCCCCTGTACAACATTGCCAATGCTCGCTTTGAAATCGTTGAGTTTCCTAATCAAAAATTTGTTAACGTTTTACAAAATATGAAATCGGTAATAAAACAAATTCCAAATTTCAAATTTGGGCTTCCAGATGCCCATATTAATGCGGAGACGTACGTCATTCAAAATTCGATGGATCTAGATACCGTTGTTTTATCACAATGTGAGAAACATACATGTATTCATGCAGATCCTTCATTATTCAATTTCTTTAAATATAATACAGGGCGATAATATTTGGTGGCAACAATTTGCAAAGTGAAACATCGCTTGTAGTGAATTGACGCAAAATGCCAAAACGAAATTAATAGTCCTTCAGGGCAAATTACCTCTTTGGATTAATAAATAATAAACAAAAATGAATGTATAATAATAATAATAAATATCAGATAAAAGTAATAAAAATTAAAATATGTTACGACAACAATAATGATAATGAGAAGAAGAAATATACAGTTATATCAAAACAGAGTTAATTCACATTGATGGTAAATTTGCAATATTTTAACAATTGTTTTACTGTCGCTTAAACGTTTATGAAAAAATACACATAAAAAAATTAACGACAGACTGTATAGTACATGTGCTCCAAACGAGCGCTTAGTTTAGATGCGTAAGACTGGTTCCTAATACACTCATGTCCATAAATTAAGGATAATTCGGAGTCACGCGGAAATCGAACTCTAAAATAAATATATCACCTGTAAAATCACTACACACATCTTCAAGAATCATATGCAAATTTCAGGAAGTAACAAGATGACGCCGATGGTACGTCACAATGACGAGAGTGTAAGAGAGTGATATATAAGGAATACAGGCAAAGAAGTAAAAATGTTCGCAGGCGCTTTATAAGCATTTTAGTGCAATAACCGAATAGTTATGACACAAAGGACGCATTTGGATGATTTTTTACGTGGTAGAATTATCGGCCGTCTGGAATGTGGGCGTACCCAACAGGAAGTATCAGACGAACTTGGAATTGCCCAGAATGTCATCTCCAGGCTTTGGCAACGATTCCAAGATAATGGTAATGTGAGTAGACGTTACAGAACAGGTCGCCCCAGAGTTACAACACCGAATGAGGACCGGTATTTGGCAGTTACTGCCAAAAGAAACAGGCGGAGCACAGCCTCAGACCTGTCTCGTCAGCTCTCTTCAGCCACTGTTACGACAATTTCAAGGCAGACCGTGTACAGACGCTTAGGGCAGATTGATCTATATGCTCGTAGACCAGTCAGATGAGTTCCACTTACTGCAACTCCTGTCGCCTGCAGTTAGCGTGGAGTAGAGAGCATGCATTGTGGACACCGCAACAGTGGGCTTGTGTGATGTTTTCCGACGAGTCCAGGTTTAGCTTGCAGTCTGATTCTCGCCCGACTTTCATACGGAGAGCTCCAGGTACCCGTTACCACCAAGAAAACATCATTGAACGACACCGTTACGGTGGTACAGGAGTGCTCGTTTGGGGTGGAATTATTCTGGGTTCCAGAACAGACCTTTATGTTCAAATTGGAACCATGACAAGCCAAATCTATCGGGACGTCATTCTGGAACAACATGTACGTTTGTTTCGGGGCGCCATGGGCGCACAATTTGTGTTTATGGATGACAACGCCCGTCCTCACCGTGCAAACATCGTAAGCGAATGCCTTCAATCGGAGGATATCACCCGTATGGACTAGCCAGCATTCTCACCGGAACTTGAATCCAGTAGAGCACGTGTGGAACATGCTTGACCGACGAGTTGCAGCCCGTCAACCTCCTCCTACATGTCTACCGGAACTTTGGAGAGCATTACTTTTTGAGTGGTGTAATATCCCCTAAGATCAGATCAATAATTTGATACTCAGCATGCCTAGGCGTTGTGCGGACTGTATTGCATCGTCTGGGAGACATACAATGTATTAACAATCATACCAACCATGTAATATTGGTTTTTTTGTAAATAGGGTTTTTTTTTTTTTTTTTTTTTTTTTTTTTTTTTTTTTTTTGTAATTTGCTCCAGGGAGAAAAAATTGCTAATTTTTTTAATAATATCAAACATATAGCATCTTTTTTTGCTCTTTACCTTTTGTTTAATAAATAAGCTTTACAAATAAGTCAAATTTGTTTTGCTTCTAACTCTTCCTTTGCCTGATTTTGCATTATCCTTAATTTATGTACATGAGTGTATTTTTACATATTGTGTAAAAAAAAATTTTTTTGACATCCACCGTTGAAAAATCAGTCCACTGTAATCTGGTAAAGGTACACCCAAAATCGGAGAATTTATTATTGGCACGAGAAGAAGTTGAAGCACCTTGATTTGTTGGAAAACTAACAATTTCAGTTGATTTCATTGGCTTATTATTTTCATAATATCTCTTGTTACATTCTTTCCTTTTTAAAGCTAAACTTTATTAACTTCTTTCATTAAATCTTTCTTTAATTTTTATGCTTGTTTCTTGCGATATATTCTTAGCACAACTTTATATCTTTTGGACATTTTATATTTATTTTTGTACAAACAAAATCAATACGTTTCTACCACGACTGCTCGCCGTCGACTCCAACGTAGAACTAAAACTCGTGCACGTGAACTTGTGATGTCATCAAAATTTTACGTATTTTTGCCTAACTTTGAGACTCTACTGTGGCTCAAACTCAATTAAGATTTTCATTTTTTTGTGTGTGTGTTTTGTAAGGGTCTCCTTTAGCCATCAAATAAGCCGTAAATGAAAGCTGTACCTTTTGGAGTTATTGAGATATAAGTGTTCTATTAAGACTTGTTTTGCGTCTTAAATATTTTTTGTCCCTGAGATCGTCATTGAGGAACGTAGTGCTGTGTTAAAAGTGTTGCTAGTCAAGCAAGAAAGCATGTAACCTTTTGTTGTTTTGCAAGAGAAATAAGTTAACTCTAAAAAAAAAAAAAAAAAAAAAAAAAAAAAAAAAAAAAAAAAGCTGAAATGAAATTATTTTCTTTGTACCAATCATTGCAAAAGCACTGCTATCGTATGTTTTCGCTGTTTTTACTTCCTTGTACGAAGTAAAAAGGAAGTATTGTAATCGCGAAAAGTTTCAGGCAGCATATTTCAACGAAAATATCCATTTTGACCGCTTTCGAATGCAATTTAACGATGTTTTTGCGTGATATCTGTACGTAAGGACAGAATAAAAGACTCTTTTCCTCCAAAAAAATTATAAAACTGCTTTAAAATGAATTCTGAAGAGAATTTTTCCTGGCGTCTGTACGAACGTATGTACGTACGTACGTATCTCGTGTAACTCAAAAACGAGTAGCCTCAGAACGTTGAAATTTTGTATATGTGCACCTCGTATCTTGGTTGCAATCGGCCGCGCCAAACATATATAAATATATTTATATATATATATATCCACTCTGTTACCCGGCTCAGTAATCACAGTTTCTTTACTCTTATATGTTTGTAAATTGTACATTTTTTGTTTGCTTTAAAAATGATTGAATTATGTTGTTCTTATGTTCTGGTTAAGGGTTCTATGCCTTTAGTAAATCTGTACGCAATATTTTTAGAATTTATCAACAATTTTAAAGTTGTTTAAGTGTCGCTAAGCCTAATAATTTTTCTGATGGCGGGCATTGCTTGTTTGCATTTGAAACAGCAGAGTAGTGGGTTTGTTGCCAATCTAGAGAAACGTAGCTTCGCAACAACAAAAATAATGCCGTCATTTATTATTGCGAATTAAATCATGCTTAATCCTTTCTGGAATTTTTTCGAGGAAATAAGTGTTTAACATTTACTTCGTAATTTTTAATACAGATATTTTGAGTTTTTGAGTATTTTTGCCTTGTCGCGAAGTGAGAACTGAATTAATTGAACGAGAAATACTCAATCGTCTGTGAAAAAACGTTTTCTTCTTTTTTGTTTGTTTGCTTAATTTCTTTTATACATCGGTCTAGCTTTATTATAGTATTTGAATAGAACATGTGGCAACGATTAGATAATTCTTTAAATGATATAAATTTTGTGCATTCTGAGTTATAATATGAACGAAATATAATACTATTAAGTGAACCTAGCGCCAGAGTGTCGCTATGGTAAAAAAATCGAGTGAATTTTAAAGAATGCATTTATTCTATTGTGGTTTATGCGCTATCGGCGAAGTAGATTTAATTGAATCCAATAATTTTAAACGAAATGCAAGAAAAAAGGCGTATAATTTAATATTCCGTACAAGGAAGTCATGTGGTGTACACATCAGATTTTTTAATTTGAAAAGAAGAATGCGCACTCTGTTTATAATTTGAAATACAAGCTCATGAAATGGCAACTTTATGGACAAGCAAAGGTTCTAATGTAAAGCTCGGCACGCCTTGGAAAAGTATACGAGAAGGGGACAGGAAAGAGTTCGCTGTATATAGAATCAGATCTTTCTAGCAGTCTAAAATTGATTCATTTAGTCACGTAAAATTTGCTATCTAAATGTCACTAAAATTCAGTTTTTGCGAAACGTTTAATTGTATAATTCGTACAATTGTTATAATGGCGAGATAAAATAAGAATTTTACTAAAATTATTCATTGCAAGTATGAATATTTGTTGGCTAAGTATCTAAAATTTAGAATTTAGGTATTTGAACGGCGGTCACTTTAAAATTGCTTATCAGGATCTTGGAGCCACGTTGCCAATTGCTGGTCTAAATGATTGCTGACTTACAGACCCGAGGAAAGTTAATAAATTTTGCTGTTGTTGTTGATAAAGATTCTGGCCTCCTTCCCATGCTTGCAAAATTTCGCACTTTTCCCGGAAAATGCACAATGCACATACATTGAGTGAATTGGTAATGCAAGATGAGGTTCCTCATCACATATAAGTGTGAACTCTCTTTCGTGAGCGAGTTTATAACTTCGCTTGAATGCCAACTATGCTCTCATTAACTTGCGTTACATTTAAAAACTTTAAATTCAAGATTATCTATATCACATTGAAAAATGTAAAAAAAGGAAACTTTCCAAATAATATTTTGAATTTCTTATGAGTGTGATTTTACATTTGGGCTCGTGATGTTTAATCAGCAAAAAAACAAGCATCAAAACTACAAAAAGCGTTTTCAAAGATAATTTGAAATGAATGTGACCTGTGTTTCTTAATGGGACATATTATCAACCTTAGCTGGGTACAACATATTGTGCAGCATTTTACTTATTTTATTTTGGTCTCGAATTTAAAGAAGTTGGCCACGAATGTACCACTCCAATTTTTTAAAAGAATTTCTCTTTGGTAAATATGTTATAAGAAGGAAAATGGAAAATACTAATTTCCTAAATCGTTTTGATCTTCTAAGCAATTTTCTCGAATAACGTGCGTTTATATACAATTTTTTTAATAAATACTTCAACTTTTGAACAGTATTACCAGCTGTGATAAATTAGTTATCGAAACCCTAGTAACTGTTAGTTCACTTAGAATTAGAGGTATTGATATCTGCTTTGCTTATGTGCGCGCTCATTATCGTTTCTACGGAAATGAAAGAGCTGATTTCTTAGCTAAAGATGCCTTAAATTTACCCATTGATATCAACATTAGCATTCCAAAGAGTTATTGGAAGTCCTTTCATATAATAAAAGCTTTTAGCTATGTGGAATGAGGAATACATTTCATCTTGTAATGCTGAAGTCACCAAAACGTTCCTTCCTTCTATTTACCATAGACTGAATTCCGAGTCTTTCCTCTCGTTAAATTTTAAAGAGACTCAGTTTTTATCTGGTCACGGTAAATTTGCAAGTTACCTGTTTCGTTTTAATCTACAATCAAACAATTTATGTGAATGTTCAAAAAAGAGTTCCTCAGGATGTGGAACATTTGATTTTCTCGTGCCCTACATTTGATGGCCCTAGATTATGCTTACAGAACGATTTGAGAATGTTCGGAGGAACTTGGCCAGTGAACTTATCTGTTTTCGTGAAGTCCAGACTGCTGTTCTCTGCTTTTGTTCGCTTTATTTATGCATGTAACTTTTAATGTTTTAGTTAAGTTACTTCGGTAAACCCCATGTTGTACATATGTGGTGCACGGGGAGTCTGTATGTTCTCAAAGAAAAAAAAATTATTATTTTAAATACTAAATTTTTAACAATGTAAACTTTATGACGATAATTAAATGGAACAGGTAAACATAAAAAAATTTTAAAAAATTTAATACTTATTTTCAATCCCCTCCCACCCCCTAATTCTGGAACAACTAAAAAGGCTGCTCGTGTGAATTCAGTTTGGTAAATAACATTTAAACTGTTTTTTGTAATGTTTCTTTTTGAATTATTAGCATTATACTTTTCTAATTATTGTGCGCTTAATTTTAAAACCTTTATTATCATTACGAGCTTGGACTTTAAATTGAAAACGCTGAGTTTTAGAAAACCACTTGCATGTACCGACGCAGTTTGTTGTACATTTTCTCTTTCATTCAGGAACTTTTCCAAAGTGATTTCACAGCTCTAAATTAATTCTGACAATGTTTAATGATAATTACCGAAAGGTTGTAATTACCTAAAAAGACTTGGGAGCATTTTATTCTTTAAGGATAAATTTTAATGATTAAGGATTATTATATTTTAACACTTGTAATCATGTAAAGTGTACATTGCTAAACTAATTTTCCCTTTTGAATTGATGCTGTAGGATTTTTTTATTTCAGTTTTGCTTATGATTAGTTAATATTCTGGTTTCAATTACCATTACTACATAAAGCAAAGGTGATCCTAAAGCATCACAGATGGCATACAAACTCCAGAAAGTGGCCAAGATATAAGAATTTAGCTTGCCTTGACGTCGTTGCTGCAACTGAAGAAATAATGCCAAAACCTGAAAAAAAAAATGTTTTTATATATATTACTTTGATGGCGATTATAACTCTGTTTCACTTTTCAGTAAGAAAAAAACAATTCTATGGATGTCAAGAAAGATTTTTTAAATTGAGTTTTCATTGCTTTAGATAATAATGCTTTCAAAAATCTCTAATTTGACAGAGCAAGATTTAAAGCTTCCTAATATACCACGGTTTTAGAATAAATGAGTATTTATATCTCATTATGTTTACCAGTTATTAATTATAAAATGATCAGAAGACTCTTGATTATAAGATGTAATAGAATTTATAGAAAATCTGTTCCACTTTTCGTATAATACGAACAAATTCTTCTATTTACATTTTATTAAATACGAAGCTACATGAAGAAAAGAAAGCAGTAGAACTCGGGAAATATGAGAAACATATCTCACTTCTCATTCAGTGTTTGCTTTTTAATTGTTTTCAGAGAAAACACTACGTAGTCCACAGTTTTGTACGTTCGGTTACATTGTTGGGTGTAACTCAATCATGAATCACAAATGGGTAATCATAAATTAGATCTGATTATTTAATTACGTCAAAGCATAAAACTACTCATCTGTGAAAGGGTGTCTTGGCGGAAAGAAACTAGCTCGTGTTTACGTTACACATGGTGAAAAACACTGACCTGTATGGTGACCGTGTAAGGATTCTAAGTTTTACTAACGTTTATTTTATTTTAAATCTTTACTATCACTTCTTATTTTCTACTTCCGGTCAGAATTAAAAGCTTTAACTTATTTATGCAAATTGTCTTGCTAATGCCAAGTACTTAAGTTGTGGCTTTTTGCCAAGCAAGAGAGAGGAAGGAGTTATAGGAAGCAAGCCGCTTGCCACTGTAGTTTTTACGAGTTTTCACTCGGTTGCTGGTTGCCGTCAAGGCCAGAGGTTTAGCCCTCTTGATAATTGCAGACGTATCGTAGTTTTAGCAGCTCGGCGTACTAGATACGTACCTTTCTTTAAATAAAGGCCAATCTTAGTGCGAGGCACTTGTATACTAATTCAAAGTTAGTTTTTAGTTAGAGTTTTAGTTAGTAGTTTTTATATTCTTACGTTCAGACCACGAGTGGTTGGTCTCTGTATCCCGAAGTTCGGGAATACCTGTAAAGATGGAAAATAAAGGGTTTCGTATACCCTTCCTGCTTGTGTTGTCTATTTCACACCTTCCTGAACATAGCTTGAGTAAGCTCCCTGTTCTTATTCAGGACTATTCATGTTCCCAAAGCAAATCAAGAGGAATACAAGTCCTGATAACCGGAGCTAGAAAACCCCTCTCAGATAGCCCATTTTTTCCCCATATTCCAAAAATTGTGTTCTTTAGTTACTTACTTACAACGGCGGGTTTCGTTAAAATACGGACTTTTTTTTACTTGATATTTTAATCAAATCAAAGCAAAGCACGCAGGAGATATCTTCCAAGACAGGAAAAAACTATCTACTATTCAAATTACGTATAGGAAACAGCAAAAATACCCATGCAGACAGCTAATTTACCTGGTTAGTCATCTTGAAATAGTAATGTCTAACGCTCTTATCTACTCTGTCGCTCAAAAACTCTGCGCTGTTAAATTTTACTACATTTTAAACTGCTTAAAATGTCATTATATTTGTTGAGCATGTATACGAGTTAGTTTCATAAGGAAAAGTCAGTTGATGAAAATACGTGCATTTAGCATGAAATCTTATTTCGGATTAAAAACAAGAATTTAAACACAATATCTGCTCTTTATTCCCCCGACGTTTTCATCGTCGGGGATTTAGAAATTTCTGATTTATGGCAATAGAATAAAATGTACGCGCAGACGGGAAAGTGCATTGTAAGTAAAAATAATCCTAACATAAACACAGTAAGTAAAATAATAAACATAATAAGCAAAAAGAATATAACTGAAATTAATAACTTCAACTTTCTTTGAAATGCATTACACATTAATAATATTAGTATATCAATTTACATATATTTTTCAATATTCTTTGTCCTTCATTTAAGCTCTTTCCGCATAGAAATGATATACGCCTCGTTATTTTCTTCTTTCAGTATTTAAGAGGTAAAACTACACATAAAAACGGAGAGAAATATACGCGAGTAAATGCAATATTTGAATTCCATTGCTTCTTCCCGTCTCAATCAAGCAAGCTTCTTTCAGTGACAGCACATGGACAGTAATATTGCAATTATTACAGAAGACATTGTTGTTGATTTATTATTATCGTTTAAGCTTGCACAGAGGTCTTTCAGGAGGAAAACTAACGCAAATAAATTTATTGCAAGTTGAGTTGCATATAAAAATTTGAGTAAATTCAACATTTAGGATTAAAACATTAATTTACTTACGAACGTTCCAAGGCGAACAGAAACAGAAATGTAGTTGACCCTGGGAACAGGACGTATGAGCAAAGATTTGCTTGAAAGTAAAAGTATGCCTTCGGCCGCGGTACTTAAAATCAGAACGCAGCTTAGAGCCTGTAAGATAAGAAACATAAATATTATATTATTCGAATGCTTATACTATTGCATTTTTTCTTGTATATTTATATTTCTTCACGAATCCTTAAAAAAAGTTCCCTTTAAAGATAATTCTGTCTCATCAAGACCGCATAAACTTTGCAGGGCGAGATTATCAAGGAAAATAAAACAGCCTGAGGCGTATGGTTCCATTATGATAGAGCACCAGAACATTTCAACTGTTCTCTTCGTAACTGAATACTGTCATTGGATTGGGCAGATGGGGAGGTGTTCTGGCTGTGTATATGCCAGGGTTGGCCAAACTTCATGTCAGTAAGAGCCGCACGTTTGAATTTAAGAATGTTCGAGAGCCGCATCTAGATTTTCTAAAAGCCACAAGTTCATATTTACATCATTATAGAAGTAGTGGAGGAGGTTTTAAATAGAAAGAAATCCCTCATAACTTCGTAAAAAGAGCCTAAACTAATTAATTAATTCTTTTTGGACACTGAATAGTTTTAGTTTACCATATTTCATACATATATTTTATATGTACGAGCCGCACAAATTGCCTGCGAGAGCCATATCAGACTCGCGAGCCGCAGTTTTGGCCAGCCCTGGTATATGCCATGATCGCTAGACTCTATACCTTTAGATTTCGTTTTATAGGACCATCTGAATGAACTGGTATATCAAACCCATTAATACCCAGAAAGACACTTAATTATTCATCTTCATGTTACATTCTATTTTGTCATCTCCACGCAGCTAGATCGTGTATTAGTCATTCCATGAACGTGTTATCCTAGTCTTGTTGTTCACGGTGGTCACGTTGAACATCTTCTCGTCTAAGCGTAATGTTATATCCACGTATCAATATTCATGCTTCCAAAAAATCTTATTTCTTGAATACCGGATGTGATATCATACTTTTTCTTACGCAATTTTCCTTCAAAACTGTGGATCTTAGATTCGCACAGGTATTGTTCTAGGATCATTTTTTATGTACTGCGTGAAAGGAATCTCGCCCTGCAAATTCATGCGTTCTTGACGGGACATGCATGGACATAGACAGGGCTTTCCAACTTGTTGCCTAGGGCCTTATGGGCTTTTAGGACCACCATCTTATAACCGCTGTGAACAGTGGCGTAACAGAAAGAAAATGCTGTACAACCGCGTTATGTACACTAAGAAAAGAGGGGGGGGGATCATTCCATATCTCCTGTTCTACTGGTTCGATAGGCGAAATTCAAATTGCGTTTTTCATGTCTCGAAAGCGCGACTTAGGATATATATTAGATTTATATATAGCATTGTTCTAATATAGGCATTTTAACACAAAATCGGACTTTTCCTGAAACGACACGCCATTTTTTTCCATATTCCGATTCTACAATTTAAATAACGTACAGATATTAAATTTTGTAATTTTTGGTGAGAAATTTATGGAAAATTTGTCTTGGCTCATTTTTTTCAGTTTACGCCAAGAATAATTCACTTAAATAACTTCTTAATTTATAGCAACCTATTTTCTTTTCCTTTTTTTAATTGTACACGAGCGAAAAAAAGTCATCGTTCATACTTTCAAAAAATTTTAACAAAATGCGTAAACCCTATTTGGCGTTATTATTGCTTATAAAAAAATATGCCAAATTTCAAAATTCGTCAATATGTAAATTCACGTATACCTTAGGAAATTTCGAATAAAAAATTCTAATTTTTTGCAGGTATGCTTAGAAATACATCTATTTTGAAATGATGATAAAACTTTTACAGGTTATAATTCAAAAGTTTTTTTCGAAAAATTTATAAAAATTATATTTAAAAAAAAATGTAAAAGTAAATCATAAAAATGGGGGAATTTTATTTGGAATGAACCTAAATTTCGAAATGTGAAAGGAAGAATTAAATAAGTTGAATTAAAAAAAGAGATATTAATAAATATATCCCAAATTCAATTAGCATTGAGGAACTAAAATTTTGAAAGCTAATTTTGTAAAAACTAATCGTGCATTTTTTACAAAACTTGGCACTTTGGATTAATTTGAGTCATAGAATCGAAATATGGAAAAAAATTGGTATGTCATTCCAGAAAAAGTCCGATTTTGTCTCAAAATATTTATATTAGAACAATGCTATATATAAATCCAATACATATCCTAAGTTGCGCTTTCGAGACATGAAAAAAAGCAAGATGAATTTTATCAATCGGCGCAGTAGAACGGGAGATATAGAACTGTCTTTTTTTTTAGGCTACGGGGGGGGGGAACATTATATCTCCAGCGCGAGGAACTATGTATCGGAAATTTTAAAGATATGCTCATCTTAAAATTATTTTGCGACATTGCAGTTGAACTGAATTTTATGGCTTAAGTGCAAAGAACATGTTATTTAATAAATAAAGGTAACACACAAAACGTTAAAAAAAGCGCCCCTTGGGACTATTATTTTCGTTTTGCGGTTTTGCGTTGGCTCACTATAAATGTCCGTTTTCTTTTCAAACTGTTGCCACCAAATGTTAGAGCCCTGCATTATATTTGAAGAAATTAAATAATGAAAAATATGCATAAACGTCTGTATATTTCTCGCATTGTGATAAAACAACGGTCCATAGAGCCATCGAATTTTGAACTACGTAATCCTTTTGCGAATATGGGCATGTGGAAGACAAATTTGAAATTTGGAATTTGTTTTCTTATCGAATTCCTATTTTGTAAAACTTTAACGAATCTTTGATCAACAAACTCAAGGATTTCAAAGCGAGCGAGGGCAACGTTGTACAGAAAAAAACATTTTTATCTCCAGCGCGTGAGACTCTGTATCGGAAATTCTAAAGATATGCTCAATTTAAAACTATTTTGCGATGTATTTATTTGATGGTTGATTTGATGAAAATTTGATAGTTTAAGTGCGAAAAGCGTGATATTTGATAAATAAAGGTAACAGACAAAATGTTAAAGAAAACGCCCCTTTGGACGTAATTTAAAATCTGAAACCTTTCAGATTTTATTATTATTATTATTATTATTATATATTCTATATAAATGAACTTATTTTTTTTTTTTTTTGTATGTGTTTACCTAGTATACTGTCTGCCTGCGAATATGTAACCTAACCAGCTATTTACTCCTTTTTTCAAATAATATATATTAATAATAGCAATCAATGGTGCTACTTTGGTAGACGGTTGCACGGATTTTGGCGATTTTTTGGCGCTTTTCTTTTGGCGATTAATACAAATTATGGTAAACCCATTGCTGGATAAGTTATTTATGGTAACCGATACTTTGTCGTCATTTTATTTAAGAAATAATGTGTTTTATTGTGCATAAATTCCGTGTTTTAAATATTATTTATGGCTTCTAATATATTAAAAATCAATTTAATTTTGCATTTTATTTGAAATAAAAATTTATTGTTTATCATATTTTATGAAATTTTATGTGTGGATGATGTAATCAATGACGTCACCTTACTTTAAAAGTAATTGGTTTCAATATGTATAAATTTAATCTAATGTTTTAAACATTATTTATGGCTGTTAAATACTAAAATACAATTTAATTTTGCATTTTTTTAAAAAATGATTTTATTATGTATGAATTTTTGAATAATTTTAATTCTAGGCGTGATGTAACAAGCTCTCTGATTGGTTAAAGAATATTTGCGCATTAACGAGCTGTAATCAGCTTCCTGATTGGTTACTGACAATTTGTGCATTTCCGTGCCGTTTTAAAATGTAATTCATATCTTCGAATTCCTTCAAAGATGTTATCTAAATTATGATTCCGATTTTTTTTGTGGTACTTATCAATAAACAACAGATTAAATGACTCAAAAAATGTAAGTACATATTTTTCTTTTATTTTATAATTGTATACTTCAAGTTTTGTTAAAAAAAATTAATACACTATTTTCAAAAATTGCTGAGATAATTATTGTCCGTATGTTTTAATGTCAATTATATTCTATATAACGTATTTTAAAGTATTTGAATTTAATCATATTCTAATTCTTTTAAATGTTGGTATGATGGTTTTTTAATTCGATATTCAATTTCAGGTAAATATTTTAATCTAATTAAACGTTGGCACAATGTTTTATAGCGGTGTTTTTTATTCTCTTCTTTGCTATATGAAAGTAATAATGCCTTACTTTAGTACTTTATACTCATAGTAAATGTATTTATTTACACTTGTCTGCCATCTTAAAATCGAAATTTTCAACAAAAAATTAATCCATTACTTTTAACGATATTTATTTTTTTTTTTTTTAAGTTTCGAATACTATACTATGCGTAAAAGCAGCGTTTTTCAAGATGGCTGACGTTTGTAAAAATCGCGCCAACAATTGCGCCAACGTAAATCGCCAAAAATACGTGCAACCGTCTACCATAGCAATAAGGAACTTAAGATTGATGCAGATTTCATATAAAACTGAAGATACAATTTTATCTAAATTCCCAGGTGGTCTGGAGGTAATTTCTTTAATTCTGTATTTTACATATTTCCGATTAATTAAGCTATACATAGTATGCTCCTTTTTTATTTAAATTTATTTATTTTTACCAGTACATACCTCGGTAAAAGAAAATCTCATTTAGGAAAAAGCTAACTCCGAAAAAGTGATGCTTGTTTAAGACCAATTGATGTCCTAAGTTCAGAAAAAACCCTAGGCCCCAATTTTCACTCTTCTTAAACTATACTGGTCTAAAAATAGAAAAGAAAAGAGAAGGAAATTTCACATTTTTTCCAGGGAGAAAATTCTGTCGTGCTCTTTCGATCTTGCTGCCATAAGAAAATGCTTGTATTTGTAAATAATCACTCCAGTCCTCGAGGAAAAAAAGAATAAAAAATCAATATCGTTCAAAAAGTCGGGTTTAGGATTTTTTTTCTTCTTTTTCACTTTTTTCTTGCAGCATTGTAAATCATAGGGACTGGGGGCTTAGATTTTTTTTATGCATAAAAATCTAGTTACGTCACTGTGGCACTGTGGAAGCTGGAGAATGATTTTTATTG